CGTGGCTCCTGAAAGTTTAGGAAAACAGTTGTAAGCATGCACAGGAATGAGGACAAGCTGAACAGACCTGTCTACGCATTGAGATCTGTTTTGAGCTCAGCCATGACCAAGCCCTCATGCATTCCTGCCTGCTTCTCAGATTTCTGTCCACAGGAGGGACAACAGCAAAAAAAAAAAACCCTCTGTGGTTTTTTTTTGTATGTGGAATTATTTTTCCACCGCTGCCCACACAGGCTCTGCATGGGGCACAGGCCTGTAACGCCGCTTGATGTTTTGATTCTTCTCCGAGCAGAGTTCTGTGAGCCGTTCCAGCGCGAGTGTGCGCAGGCCAAGCACGGAGACAGTGTAGCAACTGGCAGACATGTCGAGACAATACCGAGCACGTCATCACTGTGTGGCAGGGGAGATAGCCTGCAGCAGCATATCATCATCATCATCATCATCATCATCATCGTCGTCGTCGTCGTCGTCAGAATTCCACATTTCATTATGGAAAGTTTTTTTTTCTTCCTCTCACTTTGAGTTTTTCTTAAGTGGTTGTTTGTCAAAGGTTTTTTTTTTTCTCCGTCTTCCAATCCCTGAGCCATGTCGTACTATTTTCAGCATGTATGAGGTTTGATGGGAGCAGAGAAGGGGAATTACACAGTGTCTGATCTCTGCATGACTGTGGGTTTTGGTTTGGGGTTGAGAGTTGGACGCAGCATGACAGAACCAGTCGCACAGAGGTTGCTTTAGTTCATGAGCGAATGAGTAACAGACCACCGAATAGAGACCCAACTGTTAATCAGGTAAGGCCCAGATCAGAGTCTTAAGGCAACACACTGCACCTGTCCCACTCGGTGGTGTAGTGGTAGATGATTAGATGGGTGTGCTACCGTGGATGGATTACTAAACGGGCCCCAAAGTCTCAGGGTACCCTCTGGCCTTCACTTACAAAATGTCAAATTAGCACGTACCGAGCAGGTAGGGCCTTAAAACGACCACTAAACAACCAAAAAATACAACAAGTTACCTCCAAGAGACATAAAATGACCACAAGGAGATGCATAACAACCTCTAAGAGATGCAAAACCACCACAAACTCTGTGTGTCTTGCTCCTATGTAGGAGAGGTGGTGGGGCTCTTTGCATATCTGTGCCCTGGGGCCCACTGTCTCTTAATCTGAGTAGGTTACCATAGGGGGAAGTGGGTATACTCCCCTATATATTCCAATGGCTTTCTAGCTGACAGAAAAAGAGGTTGATATACCTTGTCTACCTGCGTATACCCTCCACCACACCACTGGTCCCACTACTGAGCTCCCTCAGTGTCGTGAGCCCCACACAGTCTCCCACATACATAATTACAGTGTCCGAACTGCCGTGCATTTTTCTGCAAGGTTAAAATCCCCCAAACTTTGTAGCAGGTGGGGTGAAAAAGAGGGGGAATTTTTCCTTTGTCTGCACGCATTTACTCTGTGACAGTGCACTGAAAAGGGATTACATCATCACTATTGTAGCTTCCGAGCCCTCTGCTTTCCTCCATTGGCTGGCATACAGTGGACCGTCCGATCCAGACAAAGACAGAGCATTCCAACAGTTTAGCAAGCAGGAAGCGCGGACCCGTAGTCACACCTCATTACAATCAAACTCATCAACCCCCCTCGGGTCACCAGCGAAAAGACAATCACACGGAAAAACCAGCAGAGGTGATATTACCATCAAGTCATTTGACTTCTGACTACAGGCTGACTAACGTTAGCCAGACGCATCACTCATGTTAAAACTGACGGAGCTTCCCCTTTTTTTCTTGGTGTATTTCAGGCGATTACTTAAGGTTGTGTCAAAACTCATGACTCATGTTGGTGTCGCTTGAGATAAACAAGCATGAAGACACTGGCCTTGTAGCTGACATTGGCTGCACTGGTGCACCAGATCATCCAGGGTCACATCTGAAGGTCTGTTTAGTTTGTCATCTAGTCTGTCATCAGTGACAGGCATCTAGAGGTGACAGGGGCGGCAGCCAGTCAAGTATGACTACACATTTACAAAAGATGAGATCAAGAAGTGTGAGAATTTTGCAACTTTAAAGGAGCAGCATGTCAGATTTTGTAGCATGCAGCCAGATGAAACTTCTCTGTTTGCTAAGCATGAGCTCCTGGTTAGGATTGCTTCAATGTCTATTGGTCAGGAAGTTTTTTACTGGGAGCTGAACTATCTGCAGAAGTCTCTTCCTCTCCAAAACAAACAGACCAGCTGATTTAAGCCAATAAAAACACTAAGTAAAGCAATCAGTGTTCTTCCAATGCTGTTCGGATTGCAAAAGAGGAGCTGCTTACTCTGACAGATGTGAAAATGCTAAAATGCAAATGGCCCTGTCTGGAGCCAGTGTTTGGTTTGTCCATTCAGGGCTACTGTAGAAATGAGGTGGTGGAACATGGCTGACTCTGTAGGCGAGAACCTGCTTCCTATCTAGATAAAAACGACTCATTCTAAGGAAACGAAAACAAAGCAATTCTCATTTTCAGGTGATTATACACTAAAGAAAACATAAGTATTATATTATATTCCATTTCTGCTAATATATACCCCCAAATTCTACACACTGCACCTTTAAGACTTTGTTATAGTAACCCAGGAGGTAGCACATCACTGGGAAAAGAGTGCGGCCAAGAACCCACTTTATGACCATCAAACCAATAAAGAACAATGCCCCCTGAACTCGAGAATTAATCATAACAATAATCTCATTATTCCTTATAAAATGTAAACAGTTAATTTAAGCATTTCGTGATGGCCACTTAGCATAATTGCAGCCCACACATTCCAGAGTGGCAAATTATAAAGCAGCACAATGCTCCTCTTGTTGTTGTCTTTTATCTCTGCTCGAGCTATTCCCTTCGAGCCAGTGCAGAAGAGACAAAAGAAACATAAGCTCAACTTAGCAACAGGAAGCATCCCTGCATTGCACGTTAGAAAAAGACTCATGCGACAAATGAGGCACAATAACTATTGTTATTGTTGTGCGAGAAGTATGATGTAAAAAAAGTGAAAATAGAAACGCTGTCCTTCAGTCATGAAGCAGGGGGGAGGAATATTTATGCTGATAAGAAATGTGAGAAGCAGCAGCTTTTTTTTTTCTCAAGGAACAATCGTGTTTGGAGTTTACATTTAGCAATGCTGTAATTACAGTAGGTGGGACACATCCCCTTTAATATGTACCCTGCAATATATTGATAAAAATGTAGGCATAAATAAAAAAAATAACAAACAAATGGGAGCAAATGTAATTGCAACCATAAAGAAACTTACAAAATTGTTTTTTTTATGACTACCAGATCTATTATTAAGTTGTACTGCAGTTTGGCATGTGATTTTTCCACGTGGTGTTGCTGTACCCAAGCAGACCACAGCTCACAGGGTGTATTTAGCTAACGTTAATGTCTGTATTGTGCTATATTCGTCATAGCTGATGTGAAGGCTGAGTAAAGTGTCAATCACTTGTGTAATGCATGTGTAATTCATTCAGACAGTAGTAGCTTTCATTCACTGCATATTCATATGGTGTATAGCCGTGCTTCCTCACGATAAATAATATATAATACAGAAAATATGAGTGAATTTTTTTTCTGCAGGGGAACCCCAACAGATTTGGTCCCCCCAATGGTGACTCCATGGCTACGGCCTTGACATTTAGGCACAGATGAAAGTACATCATATTAGCCTCACACTGCTATGGCTGCAAGTCTCACTAAATTAAATGTTTAGACCCACATGTGCAGTCATCTTATCTTAACCTTGACTGGTATTTTTGTTGGCCAATTGTGCCACATTAAAACAGAGCATGCACACTTTCCCCTCGCAGTAATACAAAGCTCCTGCATTTGAATTAGATTCATTCTTTATAGGAAATCCCATCAAAGAAAGCAAGACGCAGTCCAGTGTGAATAACAGCGGCGATTTAGACGGGACAAAGCTGAGATTAGACTCACCGCAAGTAAGAAAAAAAAATTGCAGTGCAGTGTACGATCAGTCATGCCCACCGCAGGTCAGCTAAGCCTATCAAGAATGCCAAAAATCCCTGATCCCTGCCAAATCCTAAACTCCAGAGCTTCCTTTATGCACCTGACTCGTGCCAAGTTAGCCAACAAGCTACTGGAGCAGTTCAGTGCCCAGTGAGTGTTAAAGTCCCACCTGCATGGTTGTGACTGGTTTGTTACAGCTGGTATTTTGTAAATATGCTAGTTTCGGGTACAGTGGTGCATGTTTGAACTTTGAAAGGTTGGCACAGTTTCCTGGTTGTTGCTATTTAAACAAACCTCTGTTTGCCTTGTTGCTCTGCATTGCCAAATCTGCTTCCTCTGTATATTCCAAAAAGTCCCTATGACTTGTTTTGGGTATATTCTGCACATTATGCATGGATAAATCAGCAAAAGGAGGGTCTGGTGTCATGTGTGTAGACAGGATTTAACATCTAACATGGTGTATTGATTAAGCTGAACCTTATCCACCATTCATCTTGGCCTTATCTGTCCAATACATGATAACCCAGGCAAGGCTGTACATATCAGAGCAGATGTGGCACAAGGAAATCACCTGCCTTGAAATCCCTCCTCGTGTGGCAACAACACACCATGCTGAAAAACACAGGTTTTCGGGTGGTGACAGTTACACAAGCAGACACATCCAACATGAAGTGGTGTATGTGCACGACAGGGCTACCACCTGTAAATCGTCACCCCAAAGCAGTGCCTAGAACAATGCCCTTGACATATACAACGACGCGGCGGGTACATGTACCCTGACAGCCCCGGTGATAGTCGGGTAGAAACGTTTCTCACCGACTCCACTGTTAGTTAAAGGGGAGAAAAACACTGGCACTGATTGCGCACTGGCTCCACACTGCACCTTCACACGGCACAAAGATGTGCTTTGTCCACAGACAGCCGACAGATGTGTAGTGAGCACCTTGTACCGAGCACCGACACCCCGCACATGACGAGCACCACGGTCCCGACTCACCTTTCCTCCTCTCGGCTTCAAGCTTTTAGATGTCACACAATACGAAGCGGGTTTTTCCTCCTTTTGTTTCAACTCGTAACAAGGTCCTGGAAGTCCCGACACTCAAACTGCGCAGCGCTCTTCCTTCCTTGCCCTCGCGGGAAAACGTATTCGCTCCGGTTGAAACCGAAAATGCCCCGGTGTCGTCCTCCCGAAGGCAACTTGGAAGTTTGATAGAAAGTTACGGGTTTGCCTGGCTGCGCTATGCAGCTGCTGGAGGGATGAGATCATTCAGGCTGCTTCCCCCCTCCTCCTCCTCTCTATCTCTCTCCCTCACTGGCTCGCCGTGCCCCGGAGTCTCGCGAGAAGGCTTTGCTGGGGAAAGCAAACGTTCCCGTGGCAACCGCGCACACCTGTAGTGGGTAGAGGAAGAGGACGGGAAAGGAAGAGCTCTCACTCTGCCTGGAAAACAGAGCCTGTGAACTCTGCAAGCTAAATTACCAAGACAGTAGAGATACACACTTCCAAAAAAATACGTAAAGCTATTATTTGATGAAGTCAGTGAAGTCAACAGGCTTATATTTGTGTGTCATGACATCTAAATACAATGTGTGATAGGCTGTCTTCCATGAACTTTCTGGACTCACTGAATTTATTTTAATTTAATCTATTCATGCCTTTTATTTTGCTTGTTTGTTTGTTCTTGTCTTGTCTTGTCCTGCCAGGTTTATATGTCAGTAATCTGTATACTGTGAGTATTATCGTTGTGTATTGTGCTGTCTTTGTTTCCCTGCTTTGCAAAAAGTTCAATAAAAATAAAAGGGCCTATATCTGGGACATTCCTTTTACACAAAACTGTTGCTCAGCAAAAATGGAAAATATCCTCCTGAGACCTGAGCTTTTGTTTCGTATGCATTTTTAATTTCTCCTAGCTATCTGGGATCAGTAGGACCTGATAACTATTAAAGAATCAAACACTGGCAATGACAATAAAGTCCCAATGTCCTCAAACAAGTACTTCCTAATTAATAGCCTTTTAGCTTGTTGCTGTTGCTAAAACTGGTCAAATTTGTTGCCATATCAAACTACAAACATTATTAATCATGAATAAACAAGTTTCAACCATAAGATATGATCAGGTTTTGGACCTTGTCCACTTTTGTGTCTGGATCAGCTGCAGACTGACTTGGCAGAGATGGCTGCCATTTTGTTTTTATATGTATTACTGTATTGTGCTCTTATTACCGCTAGATGGCACAAATAGTGTCCACGAACGAGGACAACAGGCCTAAGTTAGGTAGAATGAAGTTTAAGGTCAAGTAAACCCAAAATATGATGTCCTCATATTAGGACACAGGGTCTCAGGAGGATATGATAAAATAGTTTATTTGAACTAGCATGAATATCATGTATGAAAATTAGGCTTTGAATGACATATCAGTGAAGTGTTATGATGCTTGTGTCACAGCACCCGAGGATAACGGCAGCTGACACAACACCACTGTATGATGCTAAAGCAATGTTCATAACTTGGATTAATTTTTCTGAAAAACACTTTTGATTCTTTCATCCATGGGCCCATACAGACTAAAGAAATATGAATTATTTACTGGGTAACTAAGGAATGGAATCATATTCTGACTTCATGACAGCTTCAGAAGAAGAGAGTCACCACTTGTTTTTTCATCGTGCCGTTAAAGCTGAATGAATTACAGTCTTCTCTGGTGCTCATGGTTTCTGTAAAACGAAATGCACAGAGCTAACAATGTGTAGCATTGCCATATTAACAAAAGTTCAAACATTTATATTTGTATGTGCAATCTAAGCAGCAACTAACGATAGCTCATGTGGGTAGTCAACAGTCCGGTTTTATACATATAGGAGAATGAACTGCATAGCAACCAGAGCAGGCCTCTAACTGAGACGGGCCTTTATTTGTCAAAATGTGTAGCTACATTTGGCTAGTAAAAGGGACTGTGTGTTTCACTGGGACTTGGCTTTTAACTGAAGTTTTACAGAACAAACACACACAAAAAAGATGGTGAAAACATGACTAATGACAAAAGACTCCCAAAGCTGCTGGGAGAAATGGGCCACAGCACTGCAATTCATCTCATAAATTCTCTGTAAACATGAAATAATTTAATTAATTCTTTATTTCTTTTATTCATGATCAGTCTATTTATTTATAAGTTCTTTATTTCACTGAACTCCTTGGCATATTTTTATTTTCTATTCTTTTTTATTTTTATTTATTACTCATTTATTTATGTGTCTACTGTTCAAACAAACTGCCCCTGGTGGGATTAATAAAGTTGTTTGAATTGTAAATCTGATAACACAGCAGCAAGATCTGTGAGGTGTTTTGACCGTAAATGGGCGTCACACATAACAAAACACCCATGAAGACTGTTATCTGTATCATCTGTATAATCCTGCACGGACCATTTGCACTGTGGTGCTGATCTCTAAACTGTACATCCAGGTGAAGATTTCTGCGTGGGTGGTTTTAGAACATGTGTGTTTGTCCTTCCCAATAAAAACATGTAAGTAAAGGACTTTTATTTTGACAAATTTAAAGACATACACCATATATTGATGCAAAAAGACACAAATTGGTGCATTATAATTCACTAGAGCACAGGATTTTATTTTATTTTATTTTATTTTATTTTACTGATTAGTCAAGTCAAAGTTTATTGTAGCCCAGTCACAAAGCCTGCCTCAAAGGGCTGTACAAATTCTAATTTCAGTTCAATTTCAATTCTAATTTGACCTATAAAGTCCAAAATCACAAATCATAATTAGCCATAGAAGGCTTTAAAGCATACAGCATAAGGAAAAACTCCCCCCCAAAAAAACTTTTAACTGGGAAAGATGGGAGAAACCTCAAGAGGAACAACTAAGGATGGAAAATGGATGGATGGACTTGCTTTGTTAATGTTAACCTGTGTTTCCTATGCCAATGAAGCTTCTTTGAAACTGTAATTAAAATGAATACCCTCCAGTTTGTAGCCTACTCCAAACTTACACTTGTATCTTTTTCTGTGTAGGTCCAGTTACACACCTTATTATGTTTTACTGCTTATGTTTGTTTTAATTTAAACAAAATTTATTGTCTGGTTTCTGTTTTAATTTGCTTAGATTTGATCTTTCCACTGACAATAATGAAATGTAACCAGACACATGAGAGCTCCAGTGTAGGACCCATTTACTTATTGCTCATTGGAAACTAGCGACCTTTGACCTACTGTTGTAAATGTCTTGTTATAAATAAAGTTGGACAGATTGAGACAACATGTAGAGGATTTTGCTGCAAATACATGCAGGGTTATTTGGACCAAGCATGCGAATGAAAAGTGTTGTCGAGAGATGATTTGTGCAACACTTTCAACACAAATTAATGCTGCTGTTGGTCATGTATTGTCACTGCTGTGGACTGTATTGTCTCTATGATGAGGTCACTGGTTGCTATTCATTTATCCTGTTGTATGTTTCTTTTTACTCTGCCTGGCTCAGAAAACGCCCCTCAGAAATAAACAACATTTTTGTAATTGAATTGAGCATGTGATGAGACAGTTTTATTCTGTTATTTTTATGAGACTTTATTGGAGAATCGAATTAAGTGAATCATCTCTCAAACATAAACAATCTTTGGTGGTATTTTTCTGCAAGCTGGGTGTGCAGGGGAGCAGTGCAGAGGGGTGGTGAAGAGGCCCCTGGTATTCCTCCTCCAATATTTGCTGCCTCTAATAGGCAACATTACTCACCTGACTGTCAACCCCAGCCCAGTAGGCCTGTGGGAAATATATTAATCAAATGTCCTCATGTATCACGACGACAACACAAATATTCAAACGTGATATGCAAAGACAGTGAGTCAGGCTTTCTACAAACGGATATAAAACAGAGTCAGGTGACTGAGTGTCTCACTGCCGTCCCCGCAGCAACCTGCCAAAGACATTAGAGCGCTGCCTGGTCTGTGTAGCCTGTGGCTGTGACATCATCGGCTGATGTGGATGTGAGCGGATGTGCAGAAAATCCACTGCTAATCTGCAGACCTTGCAAACAATGCACACTCTGCATAGAAAATTAAAGCTGGATAAGAGCTCATTACACAGTGGCAAGGTCAATGCTCTTGTAAATGCATGATTTGGGACTTGTCTCTGAGTGTCACTGTGGTGGTAAAGCATTCCTGCAGCTGTGCAGGGCCACTGGTGTCAGCAAATCTTACTTGGAAATGTAGATTCAGTGAATTTGGTAGAGACAGAAGATCTCAACAAGTAAAGAATGAATCAGCAGCATAGAGGATGCATAATGCAGAGGGATGGCCTGTGAGCTTTTAAATGTGCAATGATAACGTGCAGCATAATTCCACACCTTTCCCACTGTATTTCAAGCCTCATTACCGTGCCTACACAGAGCTGTTTCAGACGTGACAACAGCTATTCTTGTCAACCGTGCATCAGAGACACACATCTTCATAGCAGGTGCATCGCTGGTTAGATGGTCCAATTAAAAAAAGATACATCAGTGAGAGAGAGTATTGGATTTTAGGGTTTTATTCCAGTGCAAACATTTTGGGAGTGTGTGTGCTGTGAATGTTAATTCATGAAAGAAGTTCTATCTATCCAGAAGAATCTATGTGTATAATCAAAACTGTAGCACCATCTGCTGGCCAGGCTTGGATAAGACAAGAAACAGAAGAAAATACCTGGCTTTTCTATAAGGAATGCCCACTTTTGTATCATGGTACATATATTCAGTTTCTTCCTCCACTACTCTTAAGCACTTATGAGGCCTCAGATAATATTCCCTCAGCTTTTCAGAATATCACCCTCATTTAATAAGGTCTAAAAGTGTGGAGGACAGCTTTGACTGTGATGGATGAGAAGTCATTAAGAGTTGAAGGCTATTCTTAGGTCTTGGTTAATCTTAACAGTCTTTGAATATCAGGCTCTATGTCAATGGTTGGGAACTTTTTGCTGTATCTTTTAAAGGGCTCTCCCTCTGGCCCGATGAGGAATTTCTCAAAGTTCCAAGAGACATCGGTCCTGCTGATGGGACTCCAAACCAGAAATTTGGGGTCCTGCATGAGGGAGGTGGGGTCGTCATCGGGGTAGGGGAGCTTGTCTTTAAGATAGGCAAAGACCGGATTCGTGTTTGTTCCGTTGACGTCACACTTCTCAAAGATGGTGAAGCTGGGCTTGAAGCCGCCGCCTGGACGCACGTGCTGCAGGGAATTCAGGATCTCACCATTGCTGCAGTTCTCCTGCAAAATACAAGTGTTTGTTTTCATATTGTCGGTGAAGATTCTCAGCTATCCAGATTATGGTAGTCACAAGTGCTATATCGTAGGCAACTGGACTTTCTTTAGTTCTGAAGAAGCTTCTTGGATGAGAGGCAAAAGGTCTCCAAGAAACTCTAAGTCCAGTTGCCTACAGTATAGCACCCATGATTGTTTTCATATTGCCTAGATGTTTTGTACTTCCTGGCAATATTGTAATGGCTCTAAGGCACATAGTTAGCCTAATTATGGTGATAACTGGAATTAAGCTGATTACACTGAAGACAATAAAAGCATCTCTATAAGTGTGTCAGGCAGATCCTTGAAATCTAAATGTAATATCAAAGCTAAAGTAGCAGATATGATTTTCACACTATGCAGACTTGTTGTTCTGATGGAGCTGCTGTCATGGCATCAGGACTGAATGGAGTACAGACTCATCCCCCAGGCTCTTTTCCTGTTATATACATGATATTGGATTTTTTGCAAATATTCGATGTGCTGATATTGAACAGCTCATTTGACCGATAACCGATACCGATATATCCACTTTTTTCCCTACCTAATTTTAGTGATCATCAACTCTCTTCTGTAATGGATTTAACAATATATTATGCATGCATACTCTTATCATGATGGCCCACTTTATAGTAGGAAAGCACGCAATTTCAGCACATCATCAGTATCTGCAGAGAAAAGCTTTAAAATGAAATATTGGCATTGGCCTGAAATCAACATTTCTGCTGATAAGATGACACTTTAGTTATACAACATTAATTAGACAAAATAGGTCAGATTTGCTCTGGTCTTGAAGTGTCAGGGTTGTTTCAGGTAGAGCATCATCCAAGCCTGGTAAAGTGGTATTAATTGTACAGTATTGTTTGAAAATGATACATGAAAATAAATATGCCATGTTTTACATGCAACCTAAGGTGAAGCAGGTTTCTTTTTGTTGCTCAGTGAATGTGTACATTTTGAAAAGCATTGTATGTTACGTCAGCACCTGACGATGGGTCATCATGATAAGAGTGGGCATAATAACATATTATTCCACGACAGGAATGACTTCATATTCTCTGCAATTAGGCAGAAAAAATGTGCCTCTATCAGTATAGCAATTTTGGTCAAAATTAGTTGGGAAATATCAGCATATTGGATATCAACATAAATGCAATGTTATGCATCCCTACTTTACAGGTATAATGGGAATTTAGTCTCAGTGGGTGAAACAAATATTGGAAAACCAAGATACAAAGAGAAAGCTCAAAATCCTGTTTAAAATGATCAAACAACTGATTAAATTGGCTTTAAACAGAGTTCAAGTGAAGCCTGCAATACAGAAAAATGTATTTTATATCCAGAGAAAGCACTAAGGTGGGTGAGAATCTGTATTAACAAGTCAGCTCATACAGCAGGTTTGACATGAATAATAAAACATCATCTGCATATATAGTAAATTGATGAGATTTACGGCCTATATGAAGACCAGATATTGTAGGGTTAACCGACCTGATATCCAAACTGGTTACAGGGAAAACCCAGGACCACCAGCCGATGTGGGTACTTGCTCTGAAGCTGGTTGAGCTCACTGTAGTCCCGGGTGGTGGTGCCTCAGAGCGAGGCCACATTCTCTATCAGGACCACCCGTCCCCGAAACACGTTGAAATCCACCGAGTCCCCCTCCAGCGTGGTGGCTTTCAGGTCGTAGAAGGTCTTGGCGATGAACGTCATCTCGACTCCTGTGCTTCCTCAGTGGAGGCAGAAGGGATATCAACGTGTGACTGTATCCAACTGCTCGGTCACCTGACTCACTTGGGGCAGAATGCTGCCTTTCATGGGTGTCGAATGGCTCTGCAGGAAACTGATCTACACCTGACACACGACACTCTTTTACTTTAAGTCCCAGATAGACTGATGTAACTGATTGTAAAACCACACAAGTACATGAAGTAGTTTTTGCATCATTTACAATAATGTGTGTTATCTATTTGGGATAAGCTTTTAAAAGTGTTTAAATTTTGAATATCTTTGCATTTATGTGCCGTTAATGATTGGAATACTTTTAATATTTAAGTATTACTCCGCGTATGTGTTTGACATGCTCATTGTAAAAGGAAAATAGGGAAACAGCATGTATTATGGCTTATCTCTACAACATGTATCAGTTTCCTCAGTCATCAAAAATTTAAAAGTGTGATCACCTGTCTTTCAGAGCAGCTGATAAAAAATAAATGAACCTACTGTCTGAACTCTGTGTTGACCTAACTTCACTCTCAATCCAAATGTAGTGACTCAGCAAGGCTCAGATACCCAATTCATTTCTTTTAAATATGGCAATTTAAATTTATTAACTTATACATTGCTTAAGTTTTTTTGCAACATCCATGAGTTTCAAACATTATATTAAAATGTCATATCTGTGGCACCTCAGAAAACCCTGAAAACATCATATTAAGCAGCAGTAACGCTGCTTAAATGCATAACATACAGTAGGCAATACCAGTCACATTCATAAAACAAACTGTACATATACATTCAGGATGGTAAACAAACATGCACTGCATTTAGAACAATCATCATCGAACATGGCACAACACTGCCTCCGTCGAGGAAATAAGCTCATTGTAAAAGAATCCAACCCTGCTTGGTTTGAGTTTCGAGGTGTAAATAATTTAACTCTGTCCTCTGGCTACCTTGTTGTAGCATATACACTGTTTGCAACTGAATAAAACGACCTCTTGGGTATGGATCCACAAGTTACCAATCGATTTGTCGATATACAGTGCACAATATACAAGTTATAAATAAAGAGAGCGTGTGCACTGGTAGTTTTGTTGGAGTAAACGGATACAGAGCAACCTTCATGCAGGGTTCAGTGATAATGCAACAGATTGAGCCCTCTGCTGATGGCTGCTGCTAACTACATTTACTGACTTAGGAAAAGTGAAACCAAAGGAGCACCCTCCTGGCCAACAGGTCACAGTATCTATGAACAAGGCAGAGGAGTGCTGAGTCAAGTCACAGTGGGGAATGAAATGTCTTTAGCTACAGTATTTGCCGTGTGACGGCCCTCTTTCTAACAGGCGCAGCTCTTCTGTGTGTTGTTGTTGTTGGTGGCGGTGCTTTCACTGCTTTTCTCTTCTTCCAGTCCAGCCTGCGCCAGATAATCATCCAGAGATCCCAACAAGTTGTCCACATCTCTCTTGTGAGCCTGCAGTACCAGTTCTGTCACACGAGTGAAGGCCTGAAGGAAGGAGCAAGTCAAAAAAAATACTTTAGATAATAACTAAGAATGTAGCAGGAAGTTCCCCGCAGTGTTTCATTCACATTTTTAACGTGACAGTGTCTATTGAGTTGCATCCTGTCTCCTACCTCAGTGATGTTACTGCTCGTGGAGGCACTGGTCTCAAAGAACTCCATCCCATAGGATTCTGCTAGCTGCAAGATCCAGTTGTAATGGTTAGAAGGAAGTACGACAAAAGGTGTTTGATAGCTTTAGCCAGTTTTCTCCACAAGTAAATGAACTCAGGGTTTAGGAGACTGGATGTTGGCACTTATTAACTGGCCTTTCATTTGTTTTTAAAGTGGAACTAGACAAGGGTCAAGGGTTTTCACTTTATCTTTATGAAGTACATGTTGATTGCACTGTAATGGCTACAGAATAATGACACCATCAACATTTCGATTGGTTCCATATAAGCCTTGCTTTCACTATGCAAATCTGTCTGTCTCTAGGTATGATCTCCTGGGAAAATGAAGGCTCAATTTATAGCACAAAGGAAGCATGTTAACCATTGCGCAACCAAAACGGGAAGAGGATAGCACTTTTGTTTTACCTGATAACTATCAGTTGCTATCCACTTTCCAATGGCTATCTGTATACATTTTTTGAAATTACTATCTCAAGTAGCGGAAATGGTGGACAGTAGAACAACCACTGAAGAAGCTTCTTGGATGAGAGGCGAAAGGTCTTCAAGAAACGCAAGCAAGTCCAGTTGCCTACGATATTAGCACTTACTAGAACAACCAAAGTAAAAGGACAACCAAAGGTAATCCTAATTACTATATTGTAGGCAACTGGACTTGAGTTTCTTGAAGACGTTTCACCTCTCATCCAAGAGACTTCTTCAGTTCTTACGGACTGGTGCGGAGTCGCAGGCTTACTCTGTGTGGGTGTGAACCCTCACAGAGTCACAGAGGTCGCATGTGAATCGTTGATACCTGGCCATTATGTGTCGTTAGAGTTAGATGGGTCCAGGTGTGAATGGGTGTAAAGTCATTTGGGGAGGAATCCCAAGACTGCGTTGCCGGTGGGTAATAAGTGGTGTCGTAGGCCACCTCCTGTGTTTAATGATAGGTCGTTCCAAAGTAACAAAAGGGGCAGAAAAAAAGCTGAGAAGTCAGTTTCCACTTGGGTCATTTTTGGAAAAAATTAAATTCTGTTTTTACCATAATAAAGTATTAAACCAAACTGTTGTATTGAGGTGTTTGTCTTTTAAACAAGTCTGCCTACCATTTAATCCTAGCGACGACTACTGGGCATTTTTTGTTTCTTTTGTATGTAGGGTGTCTACAGGTACAAGACACTTTAATTCAATGCTTTTTAAGACTTTTTCAAAATTATTTTCAACCAAATTTAAGACTGATCTTTGAACAAGTCATCTTTATCTTATTTAAGCATTGCAGGTAAGTTTAAAGATCAGTATATATACAGTCCAATGCACAGGTAGGTTTTATGTAGGAATATTGTTATTAGAGTGAGTTAGGCTGCAGCCAAGACCACCTAAATGAAACCAAGTCATGATCAAGACCAGACCAGTGAAGAGTCCCACACCGCATGACACACTCAGGATAAAATGTGGAACATGAAAAACCATAGGCACTGCCTCAGAAAACAAATGAAAATTCCTCTTATTTACCTCTTTTATATCCACACTGTATAGACGGTATGTGTGTATGTAAAAGTGCATCATGAGAAATGTGTTGTAAATAATCAAAAGGCACTGCAGAAGTCAATTTTATGTTTTTTTTTCTTTGATTACCATAAACACACACATACAAACATACAACATACAAGTTGAAACCAACTCCTATACCTTTAATAAACTTTTTTACACATGCAATTTTGACTAAAATTAAGACTATTTAATGACTTTTAAAGGCCAAATATTTGTAAAGTTAAAGACATTTTAAGATTTTTATGGACCTGCAGACACCCTGTGTATATCTACAACATCCTACATGTACATTAACACCATCTTATGGAACTCTGTCTGTGTGTCTGTTCCACGTTTTTCTCCTCACTGACTTGGTCAATCCATGTGAAATTTGGCACAGTGGTAGAGGGTCATGGGAGGATGCGAATGAAGCAATATTACATCAGTTGGCCAAAGGGGGCGCTATAGCAACCGATTGAAATTGCAAACTTTGAATGGGCACATCTCATGCCCCGTATGTCGTAGAGACATGAAACTTTGCACAGAGATGCCTCTCCTCGTGAGGAACAAATTTGACTCAAGAACCCATAACTTCTGGTTATATAGATTTTCCGCCATATTGAATTTTTTTGAAAAACACTTAAAATTGATCTCTTCCTAGAAGTTTGACCGATCTGCATGAAACTCTGTGAACATAATCTAGGGACCAATATCTGAAGTTCCCTCTTGGCAAAAGTTGGAAAACTTACTAAAACTGAGCTTCTATAAGGCAATGAATATTGCGGAGGGCGTGGCTCATCACATAAAGGTGTGTAACATCTCAAGGGTTTCACCGATCACCACGCAACTTTGTAGGCATATGACCACACATAATCTGAGGGGACCCCTCTATTATTGATCCCATCAAACAAAATGGGGGCGCTAGAGAGCTAATTTCTTATCTAGGCCTAACTGCCATATCGATTTTTACTAAACTTGGTAGATATGTAGAACAGGACGCCTCAAGGTGACTGGAGAAATTTAACTCTAATTGGCAACTGGGTGGCGCTATAACAACAGAAAAATGATTAAAAATGGCTAAAATACGACCGAGCACTGTGGCTCCCCCTATGGACCAATGTTTTGTTTTTTTCTAATTTTTGGTATGACTAAGTCATGGTACGGTATGCTGTACATAATCACGGAAACTGTCAGTGTGTCATTCTGTCTGTCCCACGCTTTTCTACTCACTGACGTGGTCAATCTATGTGAAACTGCACATAGGCATTGAGGATTGGCATAGGTAGAAGGTGACAAAGCTACCAATGGGTATGGACTAGTATAAGTTATATTGCAAAAAAGACCACAAAAAAACACTAATAAAACCCACAAAATAAGTTTGAGTCACACCTTGCTTCCTTGTTCCCTTGTCACCTGCCTCCTCAGCTCTTCATCAGACTTGTTTCCTACCAAGATCCTCTGCACCTTGCCTGGGGCGTACTGCAAAACAACAACACCCAAATACCAGACAGACAGCACCGAGATAAGGGACTTCATCATCTTGTCACTCACACTAAGCCACTGGATGTGCAGGAAGCATCAGCAGCGCACTGAGAGGTAGAACAAATACTGAGTGACCGTGAAGGGCAAGCGAGTGAAATGAGAGTGCTTATTGGACTTACTTCATCCACATCACCGACCCACTTCACCAGGTGCTGAAAGGACGACTCGCTTGTGATGTCGTACACGAAGATGATACCCTGGACAAGAATCCATGAAAAGGGATTAAACAATGAATGCTACAGTAACACATGTGAGGGTAACTTGATCATACGGAGGGGTCACCT